TCGTAACAGCTCGCTGCTACCCTTTTCAGCATTCCTTTTCACTTTCAAATTCTTTGAATGGTTGCAAGAGCGCTCGGTTTCGAATGAATTCGATCGCAAATTTGAGTTCTGTTATCTATTTTTGTATGTAATATGCAAATACGTATGCATAGAATAATAGAAATATTATGACAAACTGTAAATAAGGAGAAAATTAAGATATAGATTATGGAGTAAAGAAATTATGAATTTTTAATACGGAGTAAAGAAATTATGAGTTTTTAATACTTAAAGATTAGGAAATTCCTATTATAAATTTGGCCTTGAAAATATTAGTTGCGGATATTCAATACATTCTTGTGGATTAGGGAATTCCCGTCTTTAGTATTTCTTTGAAACTATTTAGCGGGTAGGTACTTGTATTATGCATATTGTTCTACCATATTCATGGTAATTCATTGCAAGCAAAATGTGTGACCATCATCTCAACATACAAATGAAATACGCAGCACGCAGTGTTGCGCGGTGTTGCGCAGTCGAACCGCACAAATATTTACGAAAATTTTGTGAAAAGGAATGCAGAAAAACTAGACTCGAGTTGATGGACTCTTTTTGACCGTGTGAATGCCCAGAGCGACACCAAAAGAAAATTTGAAAAAACTCAGACTCTTTTGAATCCCTGTCTGAAACGGCACTAGCTAAGCATCGATTCATACATACAAATATACATATACTTGAGATATATATGAATCGATTTATATATGCAGATAAATAATTTCGTTTTTGTGCCTCTGCTGCCCTCTTCTTATCCGCTCTGTGTACTGTGTTATTGTAGCAACCACCAAAATTGCCACAGAGATTTGCGCCCTCTACGCATACATGTCACAAGCAACCAGCGCAGTAATATTTTTCTTTTTGTAATATTTGCAACACCCTTCATTGTTGTTGTTAGTAGTGCAAAAAAAGCAAAGCAGCAATTGTTCAATCATCAAAACTATTCCTGCCTTGCCAATCGACGGCCACTTCGCCATGCATGTGTGTATGTGATTGTATATGTTTATATATATATAATATATGCACGTGTATGTATATGGGCCTGTGTCGGCTTCCTGCTATTTTGCACACCCGCTGCGATGCATTGAATTGAGCTGAGAGGCTCAAGTACTTAGGCGGGCGAGCACTGTTTGTTGATGCGTACATACAGTTGTTATTGTTGTTGTTTTTTCATTGGAATTTTTACCCGCGTTAATTGGGTTTATTTTTAATGATGTTTATGGTCATGTCAAATGTTGTGCATTGAATGCAATTATGCTGCGTTAGTGCGATGTCACTGCACGCAAAACTGACTGGCAAACGTATGTGTGTGTATGGATATTTGTTTATGTTTGTATGTGTTTGTATATGTATGATCGTTGGCTGCTGCCTGTTGTTATGCCACACGCTAATAGCACGACCAACCACAAGAAATTTCTCTGTTTACTTATGCTCTTTATACTTTCTATCTCTCCTTTTCTCTTGCACTTCTCTCTCAAACACTTCCTTGTCTATTTCCATGCATTTTGCTCGGGTGTTTTATTTTCATGCACCCAATTGCCTCACAAGTCATATGCTTTGATTGTTTCAACATTCCACATGCGGCATTTGCCTTCACACAGGCACACACACAAACATGGACCAGTGCACTGACACTCCTCGGGTGGCAACCTATTTGTATAAGTACATCTTTCACGGTCACTTCATGCGCCGCTTGTATAAATGCTGGTATTAACAATTCGTCTATCATTGCCTTTTAATCTCTTCTGCTTTTTAATTTTATCGCTCAATGTTCTCTTTTAATGGCTTTGTGGCTTGTCAATATAGATTGATACTATCACAACATGCTGCTCATTGTAAAATGGTATTGTGCAGCTAACGATTGTTTGTAAAAACTGATATTATTGTTTTATAAATACATAAATGGTCAGGACGACGAGACGATTATTTCCGATATTTAACTTTAGTAAAAATTGGAACGTCTTGAAGAAACTTAACAGTCTGGCGCCTTCCGGAGCTTCGTATTGCATATCGCCAAAGCATGTGAACAACAAAAACTTGGTACAGAAAATCCTAGTGGAATGAGATCTGTGGTTTAAACATTTTCGAATAGTTGGTGTAAAGTGATGTTCGACTGGATTTATTTTAATAATGTTTAAAACTTGTAAATCTATATTACCCAAAAGGAGCGAAAATAGTTTAAGAATAATGAAAAACGAGCGTGGCACCGGTCTCTGTTGAACCAAGCTTGGTGCGTAGTACTTGTATAAGTCCTCCTCGCTTGTTTGCAAATATGTTGAATTGGGCGTGAGATAAACCCTGACAGCTATTTGACAACCAACTGTGAGTCATTTAACCACAGTTATCTCACAAGTTATTATACAGCTATTTGAGAGCAGCCATTAGTAAAAAACCTTCTGACAGCAGCCATCTGAGAGCAATTGGTTCAAAATACCGCCCAAGAACAAATATTATTCTGATTTGAAAAATATTGTATATAATATTCGGTTTCAGCCGAAATTAGTTCTTCCTCATTTACTTTAAAATTCATTACTGTGTTTTTTTTCTGCTGGTCTGGCGGTCTAATGCAACTCAAGTAGCAGGAAGTACTTGCGCTTCGCCGGGGAAGTGGCAGCAGCTGACGCCGTTCATGCCTAAGAGTACTCGCCTGTCAATTTGAAGTGCTTGTGACAAATGAGTTTACTTACGCTCGGAGATAACAAAATTTCGAATGTCGTACTCATTGTTTTGCTCAACGCCGTTGAATACTAATTGTGAATTTTAAGGAAAATTTTTTTATTTTAGTATTTTATTATCTAAGGCAATCCATTAAGTTTATCTTTAACTGTGGTTTTACTATATGAAGATCCTTTCGTAAAATTTCCTTTTTAACTGGTCGGTCGCCACTGATTTGCACGATGTAGTGTCACGGGGCAAAAGCATTCCCAAAGGTTAATATAGGCACCTCCTAGGTTGGGTACTTTCCCTATTTTCTGAATCCTGGTGTTAAATGACCTACTTAAAAAACTCAAATAACGAGGTTGTCGGGTAACAGCCTACGCTGCCGACGTTGCTCCTATAGTTAAAAACAAAAATTCGAAATACCGTCTACGAGCTAACCAAGCGTATCTCAGCGTGGTATCCAACTGTGCAAATAGAAGCGGCTTAGCTGTCAACCCAAGTAACACTGAAATGGTTTTCTTTACTAGGAGTTACAAAATCCCAGACCTCCTTCTCCCCTTATTCGAAGGCTCGCACTTTCAACCTGTTTATACGGCGAAATACCTAGGGCTTATCCTTGATTGAAAACTTCCATGGATGACCAAATATTAAGTAGAGAGTAAAAAAGGAAAAACAAGGTTGCTTTATATATCATAGAGAAGCAATGGGGTAAAATGCTTGTGGATATATGCGCCATGTGCATTGCTGCGAAGACCGCTCTTAGGCTCAAAGAAGCTGGTTATATGAAGGGGACTAATCAACGTCACGATGAAATTTTCTTCTCCTTAAATTACATCACTGGAAACTTGAACCACTGCGTTACAGAGGCTACTCCGGGTGGCTGTTGCTCCGCTCACATATCGAGGTCCTCAAGCTTAGCTTTAGGTTATCGGACCACAGTAGTATTTGTCAGGCAGAAGTGGCTGCTATTAAGGTAGCAGTATACTAATTGCTTCAGAGTGCAGCTTCTCTGACGGAGTGTCTGTCCTCACTAGGAATAGCAGGAAGTAACTTCATCATTTCTCGCTTAGGCGCCTGGTCATAACTTAATCGTTGGAAATTGCAAAAGCCACGAGGCGGGACACCCGTATCCCGCTTGCATCGACTGGGAACTAGTTGGATTTCCGTTCTGAAAGCACTTTGTCGATTTTTGAGGGTCTTTATGACCAAGGAGTTCTAGGTTCCACAATGGACCGGCGTTATAATCTGTCTAAGTACGATCCCGCATTCGTCGTTGCATTCACTTTTTATATTAGTCAACAAATATGTTGATGGAAGTATTAAGGCTAGAAAAGGAGAGAGAGAGAGAAAGAGAAAGAGTGAGAGAAAGAAACTGTTGGTACTTTGGACACATTATTTCTCATATGAATCCTGGAGATTATGGTTTCTGTCCACGTGTATCGCTGGGCCAACCTCCTCCGCTATGTATTTAGCTTCTTAAAATTAGACGACCTCGATGTTCCCTCTTTCAATAATTTATGTCTTTCGCCTGGACTGTTTTATAACCAAAAATATACATAAATAGTATTTTGGATGTAATATATTTTTTAGGTGGTCCGTCCCTTTGTTATAACAATAACCATAAAATCACCTTTTTGAACCATGCCAAGAAGAAGCCAGGCAAGAGTTTGGAATCTACTGCGACATAATTAAACATTAATTTAGGCATATAAGACCTTTAAGTCTTGATCTCTTAATTTAAAACGAAATTCGACTCATATGCTCGTATTTTCGTTTGTTTTTCTCGCGTATTTACGTTTGGTGAAAATGTTTATTGAAATTCCATTTCACCACACGTTTCCACGTTTCTTCTCGTCTGCCATAATGTTTCGGAACAAAACGAAAAAAAGCTATTTCGCAACAGACATAAACACTACGCCACATTTCCTCAATGAAACCAAAAAGTTAGCCGGCTTACGACGAGATTGATAAGAGAGAAACAATAGAAGTAAAAATTGTTCGGCGAGAGAGATATTCTAACTGTTATACGATAATTGTTTGCTGTGAGTGTTGTATATGGTTACTTAATGGTCATAGCAGAATGAGAGACCAATCCAGTGTACAGTATATGAGCGCGAACAGCTGAGCGTCGCGCACACGCGACAAAGCGACAAAACTGCATGCGAGTCACAGCTGCGGTGCTCTCTCTCTCTCTGTATGTGTATACAGCATGCCGCTATGCGTAGCCGTTATACGATGATGAGAGCATCTGAAACTATTTTTGCAAAGCGTAAATGACTTTTGTCAGCGCTAGAGGGGCGGAAGAGTCCTTGCTGTACATGTAGAGAGTTGGGAAACGCAGCCAGCGCGATACTCATAAAGGCAGGCGACAGACGAGCATTTTTATCGGCGCGCGAATGCAATTACTCGCGTGTGCACGTGTGTAATGAACTGTTTGTATGCCTTGGCACTTGCCTTTCGTGCTGCAGCTGCTGCTTTAGTGAAGCTGTGCGAGCGCATCGTAGCGCTTACAAACACACACGCCGTTATGTCGCCCAACTGGCCACAAAGTCGGAGCCGTTGTGTCGAACAGTTTGCCAGCGATTGTCGTGTGAAAAGGACGTGCTAACGGGAAAAATCGGTAATGGTACAACATCGTACGTTTTACGCTCGGTCGCGTCGTGCAGTTTTCTAATGGAATACACTGCTAATCCAGCTAAGTGTACAAGTGAATAGCCAACTGGATTTTGTGATAAAGCTTGAAAGAAATGATCGAAATTCAAATATAATAAATAATAAAATCGGCTTGTGCATTGAAAAAGTGTTTCAAGCATTCAATCGAGTTTAAAAAGGTATTACTTCTTGGTGTGTAGCATTTCATTTTATTACCACAATTTCGTCTATATTGTAAAAAAGGCGTTTTCTTGCTGCTGTCGCCAGCGAAAAAACATAAAGCAGACAGTGCTGTCGTGTGAAAAGGCGAAAGAAAAAACAAGAAAAACGAAAAACACAAAATGTTATGGCAAATTTTGCTGCGCTTCCTTACTGTGCTGGCCTTTGCAAGTGGAAAAGTGGGTGTATGTGTATATGAAAATATGTGGGTGTGTGTGTGTTTGTGCGCTTTACAAGATTGAGGCGGAAGTCATTTTTGAATATCCGGCTTGTATTTTAGCTGTCAGTTGCGCTAGAAGAAGGAAGAACAGGCAAAGCCGCCCATAAAGACATTCATTTAAGTGGCTGCAGGGTTTAGCCGCACAGGAATAGATAGGCAAATTGCTGCAGATATGGTATACGCAAACATACACATAAGTATGTAAATAACACCGTTAGCCTAGTCCTCTGTAGATTTTGCCACCCGCGTCACTATAACTCATATCGGCGTTAGCTGCTTATCCCTGTCGCTGGCTGTTGTCTCCGCTATTGGCGCTGTCATGTTGGCTGTTTGTTGTTGTCGTGCTGTTGGTTGCTGTCACCCAGCATGCTCCGCTATGTTGCTGTGAAATATTTTATACGCGCATTTGCATATTTTAAGGCGTTAATGCTTGGCATTGTGCTGGCGTAGCGCGAAGACGGCGCCGTTTTGTGTTACAGGCAAGTAAATATAGCAGCATTGACGTGCATAAGCTTTCTTCTCAGTAGACTTTATACGCGGCGCTTTAACTTGTCGATCGTGGCGTAAGATTTATTACGTATTTCTTGTGCACAGCTAGCAGATGTGTTGAAATCAGAGCTGGTGGGGGCGCTAGTAACTTGCTATTAAGGAAACAGTGACAATCATTTAAATTACAGCGTTCGGTAGTTTATTGAAATAGTGAAATCATTGCGGGTTTGTTAAGCAAATCATGCTTTAAGGCGTTCAGACACATTATATACTTGAAATCTAGAATATGTTTGATACTAAAATATGTACTTTCACGCGTGGGTGTGATTATGTCTACATCTATTTTAAGCCATGTATACATTTATTAAAGTGTTCTTTTAGGCGCTGGAAACTTTGTTACATTTTTACCCAAATAATATGGCATACTTTAATATATTTTAATCTAACTTCAAATTAAATTTTATTAAAGTAGGTTTTTAGGCGCCACAAATGTACAGAAAGCTAACTAAGTGTTAATTTATCTTTATAATTTTCCATACATAATTTTTTAAAACTTTTGTTTATTTTACTTCAAATTTATTTTAAAAAAATTTAAAAAAGGTTTAATTCTATTTTTGGCACGATTATTTTAAATAAAACATTTAGTGAAAAAGATAGCGAATATGTTTGTGACACATTAAAGTTTTACCGATTTGAATCCCACTTGAGATGCGCTATATAAATAAAAAAACCTCAAGGAAATGACGATTGCTGCAACACAAATTGCAAAAAATACCTATTTCTATACTTTTAAAAAAGTATTGCATATTTATAGGAACCCAATATAGAAGTTAAAAAGTTCCACTGAAAGCAGTATTTAAATTTGGAGTAAAATTTTTTTTGGATGGTCTCTTCAGTATTATAAAGATTACTGCATACACTTTAGCGCAGTTTTGGCAGCTGAATCATTCTGCTACCCGAAATGAGTCTTGAAGGTGGTACAAAACAAATGAAATCGCTTAAGCTTGTGTGTAAAAATAAACAAAACAGACAGCTTAAAGTAGTTGCTTAAATTTTTAGACACATAGAACTTAACAAAATGGATTAAATACAAAAAGCAGATTTTAAGCTGTTAAGCCAGCATATATAAGTAGCATACATTGAGGCACCTGAAGTCTATTCAAAGTATTTAAACCAAAAGAAATACGTGTATAATATTATTGGTAGGCTTTGTCATGACATGTTAAGCTTTATTAATAAATTCCTGCAGTCATCACGGCCTATACAAATCTTGATTCATTTGATTTCGAAAATCTAAATAGAATTTTCAATTTAAGGCAATTGAAATTTATAATGCAGATGCACAGTTATTTCCCATGGCAACACATTGCAGAAGCTTAGGCGCAATTGGCAGTTTATATTAAACACGTCTGAAAATTTATGACATACTTTTAAGAAAGCAGTGAACGTAGAATCCCCATTATTTCTGTGTAGTAAAGAATAGTAACACATACTAGATATTTTTACTAAAGAGCAATAATTTTTCAATTAAAACCTTATGATTAGAGGCGCTATTTTTTTGAACAAGTTACATTTTTTTCACATATATTAAAGGTGCATTATATTATTAAATTTAATTTTTGCGGTTTGTTAAATTTTTAAAACCTTTATGTATTTATTATTTTAACCTACTTTTAGGCGCCTGTGCCTCGTAAAATCGTTAAAATCAATAGTGACAACAATTAATTGCAAAATCAAAGTAGCAAACAAAAAGTGAGCAAAGCAATTAAAATAACAACAAAAGCACAAAAAATAAATGCAATTAAAAGTCGCATAAAACAAACAACAACAATTAAAATAGCGCAGCAGAAAGAAAAACAGCACGCTCAATGGCAATTGCATTTCCTTATCAATTACATTGGCAACATTGTAAACAAACAAACAACGCGAACGGAAAAGCGCGACGTTCCATTTGCTTACCAACACTGACAGCTGCTGACGTTGTTGTTTTAGTTGTTGAGCGCTGTCAGTGGCAATGCTTGTATGTATGTGCGCGAGTGTGTGTTTCTGTTAATCTGTGTAGCGCCGTAAAAAGCCAATTAATTTGCTTTATTTATGCAAATTGCAAACCTAGAGGGAAATGAACTGAAGCAAAAAGTGTAAATCCTCAGATTTTTATTAAAAACTGTGTTCAAAATGCATTGAGCAATTTTATACAAAGCGAAACTAGCGGAGAAGGTGTGACTGTGAATGTGAAATTTTTTTTATTAAAATTACGATTTGAAAAAATGCCACATTTTAATGTTTGATGAAAAATAAACGTTGATATGTGTGACATTTTTTTGGAATAAAAATTGTATTTTCTTTTTAACATTACACATATACGACGTACCAGTGATTTGTGAGTTATATACAAAATTCTAAAAATAATGGCAACTAAATTTTTCTATTGTGTTCATCGTTAGAGAAATTTACTAATTGTAGGTTTTTTAAAAATTAAAAAAGAATTAATAAAAAGATGGCAAGAAATTTAAGTTTAAATCAGAAATTTCTCAAAACTTTAATTCAATATGGGCCACATTCATTGAGTTATTCAGGCACATATAAATACACTTATAAGTCTTTAAAAGACTTTTAATTAATTTAATTATTTTATGAGATTAATGTGCAGAAGTCAATTCAGTAGTGAACAGCTTTATTTAAACATCAAAACATAATTTATTTATAAAAAAAGGTAACGAGCTTTATTTTATAAATAAACTATTCGTAAATAATTCCTTTTTTTCGCACTGTATTGTTGACTGCTTAAATATTGAAAGTCAAAACAGAAATTGTCAAAAAAAAATAATTTTAAATTAAATTAGCTTAAAACATTTGTATATAAATTGTTTAAAACATATATTTTTACATTTACTGTTAGAAAAAAATTATCACTAGTTCACACCACTGCAATACAGATAACACTTTAGATTTAATATTTATGTCTTGTTATTGATAACATTTAACAAATTTTGTGAAATATTAAGTTAATTTAGTTAAATTTGATTTTAATTTTAAAATTTTTTTATTTCATATTTAACAGGATTTTTTATCATATATAAGCGCTTAATTACAATTGCAAATGGGATAACAATTTATGTTTTCAAAAATAATATATGAAGATGATAAAAATTATAATATTATACAATTATTACAAAAAATTAAAAAAAATTGCAGACATTAATGTGAACTTCAAATTTAATCAATTTATAATGAATATATGTATAGGGTCTTTCAAATAATCACACTTTTAAAAAGTTTAATCGTAATTTATGAAAAACGTGTTATAGAAATTATATAAATTACTAAAGTTTTAGGCGCGTTTTATATAAATAATGACTGATAATTTATAGCATACCTTTAAGAGCACAGTGTTCGTAGAATACGAATTATAGTGATGCGTACAAACACAATTTATTTTTTAGAATACAGAAATTTTTTACCCACCAACATATGTGCTTATATAACACCCAAAAATTCCTGGTATATTATTTATTTTTTGTAATTTTTAAATATATACTACAATAATTTCAAAAATTATTATAACTTTTAAATGTGTTAAAAATTTTCTCTTTAAAACTGCAACTGAAATTATGAAATATATATATATATATGTATGTATAATATTTAAAAAAATTTAATTTGCTTGTAATCACTTTTAGTTAATTTAATACAAAAATTCTATTATTATATTGTGCATTTCATTCATAGATTTTTTATTTATTTTGTTTTTTTATACTAGCTCGAATTTATTTCTTTGACCTTATTTGTACTATAATATTAAAAACGCCTACATTTTAAAGTTCGTTGCTAGAATATTTGGTGCACACTATTTAAAGTTGTTTACATCTCTTTTTAAGTTTTTCAGTTACATATAATTTTGAAATATGCTATAAAATCTGTATTGTATCTCATATTAGCAGTAAATAGATCTGTATCTGTTTTAATTTTGAATTCTGCACCAAAGAATTTTTTTTTTTTTGAAATTTTGATACAATAAAAGAATCTTTGCATTATCTTATAATAAATATGATAAACGGCAATAACATTTTTACACATATTCAAATTGGTTTAGCTTTAAATAAAAAAAATAATAATAAAATTTGTTTTAAATTTTCTATTTCAGATATTTTTAAAAAAACATGGACGAAGATACTTAGAGAACTGAAAATGTACTGAAAATAACCAAAAATGTACTTAACTTACTACAACCAAATATTTGACTAAAAAAGGTAAAATTTTTATAGCGAAAAGTGTAATTTGTGAAAATTGTTTGGTGGTGATATAAAAAAATTACGTGTGGAAACTTGAACATATGTGAAACATAAAAGTATACAATTTCGATATTACAGAAATAAAACAAATTATGCGCAGAACATAAAAAATAATAAATAAAATAATATAAATTGTGCAAAAATTTTTTGAAATAATAAACAGGACAAAGTGCTTGATAAAAGCGCTGAAAGTATGCAACCTTAACTCGAATAACAAAACACGCGTTGGTCGTTTTGCTGTTCGAATTTCCGCTTGATGAGTTACGCCAACTAATGCCTGCATTTTGCAACTTCAGCTTAAGCTGTGCTTAAGCTCCACTAATATAGCGCTAAGGTGAATATATGTATGTATGCAGAAAAAAATCTAAATGAAACACTGGAGTATAAGTGGAAACTAATAATTACAAAAGCAAAGCCGGAATGCAAACATAATAAATATAGTAAAAAGGCATAAAAAATTCTGCAATAAGCAAACAACAAAAGTAGGCTAACAAGCGATAAACAAAACAAAAGTGAGTTATTAAAAATTATGTAAAAAAGCGTCTGTGAGCAAATGCTGCTAATAAATGCGAGTACAGCGAAAAATAAATAAAGTGAAATTAAAAAAAAAATCGCTAACTGAAAATTCCGCAGTGAATGAAAGTGCAAAAAAAGTTAAAATAAATGCAAATTAATTAAAACGACGTGTGTGCAAAAAAATCGCAAAGCAAATACATTCGCAGCAAATAGACGAGAGAAAAAGTGACCCTCCCAGCTCAACTCAACTCAACAACTCAATTACAAGCAGCCACCGCTAAGCGCCAGCAAAGCAAAAAGATAAACAAAACCTACATTCACAATACTGCTGCAGCACTCTGCACCCCCTCCACCCCCACAGCTGCCTCAGCACACGCACTAGACGCAATCAATGCCCACTAGACAAGCGCGCCGCTCCAAAGTGCACTCGAAGTTTACACAACTGCACCGCTAAAGCTCTACGCTCCACACTCCTCTCCATTCCAGCTGCAGCAGTCATTTGTAAAACTCAAAAAATAATTCAAGTAAATAAAAAAATCTTTGCATATATTTCTGCTTGCACTATTTAACTACGCGCTCACTATCCTGGCGCATCTACGAGTAGCTCGGTAGCTCGACGCTTAAAAGGGAATAAAACGCGAAACGATAATTTCAGAAAAGGTAGGTTAATCATAGATTAAAATGCGTTTATTGTGCACATTTATCAATGTAAGCGCCCAGTAGCGTTGCAGCTGTACTGCACGGCGCCTGCCGATATGCAACGCTTATTGTTGGTATTGTGCCAGGGCTGCCATAATGCACACTTGTAGTTTCTCTTTCGTTAAAACGCGGCGCTTTTGAAAAGTGAAATACGCAGAAGCAGATAATTAAGTTGGCATTAATGGCTCTTTTGCCATATAACGCTGGCGAAAGCGCCATGAAGTAGGCCAATATTATTTCAATCATTTATCGCAACGTATTAACAAGGCAGTGAAAATAAGTGGAAAGATAGTTGCTGCCTTTTGCTTGTTTTTACTATGTATGTATATTAAACTTTTAAATATAGTTAAATTTATAATACAATATTTTAATTTTTCTTGCAACTTTTAAAGCGCTGTTTAACATTTTCTATGCGATATTAATACAGTTAAAGAAAAACTGCAATGTGACAACCACAATATATCTGACTCTCTAAATTTGCATAACAGTAAGCTCTAAGCAAAGTGAATGCAATTTCTTGACCATTTCAAAATATTATTTTTAATCTTATTGTCCTTTCATACGTAGAAGATTGTAAATATTGAACAATACACAATACATTACACAAGCAAAGGTTTTTTTTTGATTTAAATGTCTAAAATTTTGCTGCTGTTGGTGAAAGTTCGTATTATTGTTGCTATATCATTATTTTAGCCAATATCAGTTTTGCAAAATTTTTTCAAAAAGTATGATACTAATAATATCTTTTTGCTAGTACCCTTTTTAATAGCCATCTGAAGTCGTCACATTTATTGTAGACAATCTGTTTTCTTTTCTATTCAAATTATTTATTCTTATATTTACTACCAATTCGTAATAAAATAAAAATTTTTTAACAATATAATATATTTAATTCGTGTGTTCTGATATCAATTTTTTACAAAGCCTGGAAATATGCAAAAAAATTAAAAATTGTCTAACCTTTTATAGTTTTATTTTTAAACTTTAAACTAAGGTATAGCGTTATGGGGTAAAGTTAAAGTAAAACATTATAAAAAAAGTTATAGAAAATTTGTAAAGCTAATTGTATAATTAAACTTTAACGAAAATGAAATAACCTTTAAATAGAAGAAAGCTTTCTGTAAATATATGTAAACATAGAATGTAATAAAAGAACGGAGAAGGAAACCACTAATGTATTGCTGGGGGCGCGGTCTCTATAAGTTACAGTAGGACCAAGCTAGTCGAATTCAATCGGCACGGAGTAAATAAAGCTCATAGGCTAGTCTTTCAAGGGCACTTATATTTTTTGTATCTGGAAAACCCTCAGTTACTACTTACTAACACTTGGCCAATAATAAGACTTCAAATTACTTATTTATTCCTGATCAGGAGTTATTATTCATCAATCAGGCGTAATTGATTTCATTTCAAAAAACTTGTTTTCTACTATATAATTTTTATTATAATTTAATTATACAATTTGCTTAAAATTTCCTATAATTTTTTTTTTTTTTGTAATGATTTACGTTAACTTTACCCTATAACGATATACTTTAGTTTTAAGTTTAAAAATAAAAATATATATGAATTTTTTTGCATACTTCCAGGCTTTGTCAGAAATTGTAGAGTTATTACTGGTTTAATCAATTGGCTGGACGTGGAACATCCTTCCTCCGAAGTATTTTATATCAAATATGCCGAGTTGAAATAAATATATTCCTCTTTTCAATACAAGCTGAACGATCGGAATCGTAAGCTTGTAGAAAAATTTTTTATTTCCTTAGAATTGTCCACGGATTATTGTTTAAGGCAACGCAAAAATATCCGAAGACATTTTCTAGATCGGGCCACTACATGATATAGCTGCCATACAAACTGAACGATCAAAATCAAATTTTTGTATGGCAAATTCTCTATTTGTTAAGCGCAACCTACTTTGGCTGCAATCGAAGTTAAGAGTTTTTTCTTGTTTCATTTTCAGATAATAACTAAAAGTATGTTTTTTCACCTACACTTTTAATTTCACTTTTTAAACTTTCTCGCACAAAGCAATATGAATATTTCAAAATTTAATTCGTTCTTCATATTTACATGCGCACTTTTTTACCTACTTACTTACCCACTTACTTAGTTTCTTATCTACTGCGTACTTACGCACTTACCTTCCCACTTACAGCAGATGTGTACACATATAAAACCCTTTGGCAAGCGCTGCAAGCGTACGTTCTAGTATATATATGTGTTCATAAGTAGATACATATATATATATATATATATAGATGTGTGCGTGTGTGTGTTTGAACGTAAGTAAGGCGTTTACTTAACTGCTTATGCACTTACGCGCATACTTGTAGCAAAGGCTATTTACCAACTCGCACACATTCAAGCGTATTCAGGCATAGTTGCCTATACGTATTTATAGACATATATTATGTATATATACTTACATATACCTGCTTCTTTTGTGTATACATATATATGAATATGAGAGTATACATGTATGTGTATTAGTCGTACCCCACAGCCGCCATTAATATGCTACAAGCATTTCATTGCATGGCTCTCTCTTCTCTTTAACATACCGTCATATATATTTATGTATATATGTATATTCCTGCGTGTCTCCATTCATCTGCTTCCATTTATGCCCGCGCGTAAGGATTATCAGGCTATAATTTATGTCAGCTTTTACAATGTCTTTCCCCGTTACCTTCCATCAACTCCTCTCTCCGCTTACCTTTCACAGTCAGCTTATTTGCTGGCACCGCATTTTCTCTATACATTTGTATTGTTTTACTCGCTTTCGTTTAATGCTTAATGCGTTTTTATTTTATTATTGCTTGTTTCCTTGATTTTTGCTGCTTGTTTATGCGATTTTTGTGCTTCCTTCAATTCATTCAACTTCTTTTACTTCATTAAATTGCTTTCTTGCTTGCTATTTACTTGTAAATATTGCTTTTGCATTTATTTAAAATTTTACTCATACATACGCACACGCATTCGCGTTGCAGTTTGCTTCTCAGCGTTCGTTTAAATTAAGTGCTCTTCAAAAATATATAAATTAAAATGTGCGATATATGAAAATGACGCGCCATTAATTGCCAGCTACAGCACGCTGTCTGCCCGCGAAGATATACTAGCGTAATTATGGCAACAATGTGTCATATTCCAAGAGGGTGGTGGGGTGGAAGAAAATTTAAGGGAAGCACTGATTTATGCTCACTCATATGGTATTTTTAAAATTTATTTAAAATATTTCTAACGATGGGAGGAGTTGAAGACTTTTATATAATTTTTAATATATATCATTTACAAAGAACAAGTTATTTAAGACATTTAATTTTTAATTTTTTCATTACATTACTTTTATTAGCAAAATAGTATTAAGTAATATTAAATTAAATATATACTATTTTTCATAATATAAGTATTAACCTCTTATATATAACTGATTTCATATTTGATTAATATTTAAACAAATAACTGGTTTTAGCTTAATGTCAAGAATTACAATACAATTATTACAATGTTTGTAATTTATACAGAATTACAAATTTAAATAGAAAAAATATATTGTTCTTTTTTTAAATTTGATTTTTCAAATTTTTCTTTTGATTTTTTATTGTGTTTATTTTTTTCCAAGTTTTTATTTTAAAAGTAAAAGTTAAATATATTATTAAAAAAATTATGCTTCTTATTAATTTTTTTTTAATCTAGTTCTTAATTTAAAATAATTTTTCCACACATTTAAATGTTCACAAATTTTCCATTTTGTTATGGAACTGAAATTTTAAGTTCGGTTGTAATGAATTGAGTTCGTCAAAATATGTACAGTTTTAGGTACCTTCTTTCTGAAGGTCAAAAACAAAACAATAAAAAAGAAGTAAGAAGTGAACACCAGTCAATTACTAGAACCGTTTTTAAGGCACAGATCCTTCCTGTTGTCTCTGACCATGCTTATAATTTCGACCTCTCAGTACAGCATTTTCGACAACCTATCAGTCAAGAATAAATGAGTAATATGAAGTCTTATGGAGTCTTATAATTACCTAACACTTGGTAAGTAGTAACTGAGGGTTTTTCAGGTACAAAATATATAAGTGTCCTTAAAATAATAGCCTATGAGTTTTCTTTCCTCCGTGCGGATTGAATTCGACTTGTTTGGTCCTAAGGTAACTTCGATCTTTTGTTACAGGGATATATTTGCATATATCCCTAGGTAGGTAGAAGCTTTCTTCTATTTAAAGGTTATTTTATAACACACTGCATTACTGACCTCTTCATATAATTTTTTATGGTTGTACTTTTGGTGCATTCTCTTATCTCTTTAATCTTCACGGGCATAATATTCTGGGCTATTTCCGCGTTAGTTCTTGTAGCTTGTAGCATCAGTTATATCCAATGGATATCAGCGCTGATTCTACAAACAATAGGTTCTCTCCAGCTTTTATTTACTTAGAATCAAGGACGACACAAAGATATTTTAGAATGCTTAAGAGTGATGTTAATTACTTAGTTAGTATTAGATTAGTTATAACTTTTAGAAAAGAGGGATTATAGTATGTGATTTTCGTCTTTCTCGTGAAAAGGCAGACTTATTAAAACAGTGAGTTTTTCTTTCCACCCACTGAATTGAATTGGCTAAAACTCACTCTTTGAATTAATTATCCCACCATTCATATTCATAATTATAAATATGTGACTTCGAAACAAGAAATATTTCTTTGTTCTTCTAAAGAACCGCGTAATTGTTAAATCTTTCCTCAGTAAATTCTGTGTGTTTACTTCATCGAGATTTGATATGAAGCCGCCAGGATAAACTTCATTCACATTTTCCCTCTGTTGTCACATTCCAACTCGGTATTATGTATGCTATACACGCCTATTGGTATGCTACAATTGTTTAAAAAGTTCGAGAAGTGAGTATTAAGTCTTGAAGCAAAACGGACCAACATGACAGGAAGCAAGGGAATGTAAAA